CGCCCCGCACACACCCTGTGTCCCTCCCCCCAGCCTGTGAGTGCCACTCCGTCGGCTCGGCCCCGGGGCTGGAGCCCTGCGATCCCCTCACTGGCCAGTGCGCCTGCCTCCCTCGTGTGACGGGACGGGCCTGCAGCCGCTGCCAGCTGGGCCATTATGACCTGCAGCCAGGGACTGGATGCAAGAGGTAGGTGGAGCTGGAGCCCTTGTTAGATGGTCTCTGAGAATCGCTGCCTTGGACCACAGGGGACCTCCCGGGAGAGGGAGGCAGCGGCCTGTGCCCAGTGAACAAGGCTCCCTGCCCTCTGGATTTCCTGTGTGGTGCAGCTACGCGATCCAGACCCCTACCCGGGTCCCAGCACCAGGCCCCCCGTAACTCTGCAGCCGCAGCACGAGGCAGCCTGCGCCCATTGAAGGCAATGGCAGAGCCCACGCGGAGCAGCGGACCCAACCCCCAGTCTCACATCATGGGGTCAGTGCATGGGGTGCCCAGGCCCTGAAGCAAAACCACCCCCCTCCCGTCCCTGCACGCGTCACCGGGAACTCGCTCTCCGAGGGGCGGCTGGGGACAGGATGCCCCATGGGCCTGGGAGCTAACACGGTGCTGGGCATGTGCCAGAGCTGCCTTCGTGCCGGTTCCCATCCGGCGGGGCCCTTGGTGCCCAGCAGTGGGTCGGCAAAAGGTTTCTCTGCACTTACTGCCTCCCTGCCCCTTTGTCCCAGCTGTGAGTGCCACCCTGTGGGATCCCAGCACAGCCAGTGCCACCCGCTCACAGGGCAGTGCCCCTGCCAGCCCGGGGTCGAAGGCCGGTCGTGCAATCGATGCCAACCTGGTTTCTTTGGGTTCTCAGCCAAGGGCTGCCGAGGTAACCGCGCCGAGGGGCGGCTGCTCCAGCGAGGCCGTGGGACTCCGTTTCTCTCCCACGTCCGTGAAGGCTTATGGTATTGGAGGGGCTGAGCCTCGCCCACTGGGGGGACCCGGGACTGGCACAGGGGGTGGGCTGTGGTGGTGAAACTTCGGGCACCATGCCTGGGTCCTGCCCTCCCGTGGTCCTTCCCTCTCCTCTCCCCTGTCTGAACTAGTCTATCACAAAGGGGGTAGCAGTGTCTCCCGGTGGGGCAGGGACCTGGAAGGCTGGGCTCCTGGGTTCTCCTCCCAGACCCGTCCCTGGGGGGACCCGGGACTGGCACAGGGGGTGGGCTGTGGTGGTGAAACTTCGGGCACCATGCCTGGGTCCTGCCCTCCCGTGGTCCTTCCCTCTCCTCTCCCCTGTCTGAACTAGTCTATCACAAAGGGGGTAGCAGTGTCTCCCGGTGGGGCAGGGACCTGGAAGGCTGGGCTCCTGGGTTCTCCTCCCAGACCCGTCCTGGACTCACCATGTCTCTTGGCAAGTCCCACAGCCCTTGGTGCCCGTGGCCCTCGCTGTCTGGTGGAGATAAAGTCCTGGCCTCCCTCGCCAGGCTCGTGTCCCTTGGAGAGGCACTGGAGAATGGCAATCTGCTGTGCGGTCTCCCCTTGGGCCAGGCTCTACATCCACTATGTGGGTGGAAATCTGGAGCGACTGCTCTGGACTCAATGGCGCGGCTCCAGAATGAGGCCAATGGGAAGGAGAGCAGCGTCGGCCCTGAGCCTTCAGGCTGACCCTGCTCCCATAGGCTAGTCATGGCCCCTGTCCATGGGCTGACTTGGAAGCTGGCAGGGTCACAGCGTCCCCCCACCCCCATTCCTTGTGCGGCCTGCACCTTAGGTCTGGCTCGTGCCTGCTGCTGGGCCCTGACCCTGCTCTCCCTCGGGTGCAGCCTGTAACTGCTCCCCGCTGGGCGCCGTCACCCCGCAGTGCCGCGAGAACAGCACGTGCGTCTGCCGGCGGGGCTTCGTGGGCTACAAGTGCGACCAGTGTGAGGTGAACTTCTTCTACGCCCCGGAGCGGTCTCTGTGCCAGGAGTGTCCCCTCTGCTACGCCCTGGTGAAGGAGGAGGTACGGCACCTGCCCTCTCTCCCACCACCCAGCCTGCCACCGGCCTCCAGGGCCAGAGCCGCTTCGCTCCCCCAGCCTGTCCATGCCCATTAGCAGCACCCTGGACACTCCACTTCCCTCAGGGGTCAGTGCAGGGTGTCTAGAGGGCAGCAATGGCCTGTGACCTGCGGCAAGTCAGACTAGAATGGACCCGCTTGGTTGTAACCCCTGGAAATCTGACGTCCCTCCCCTCACACGCCCCTGTCTCCTTGACTGGGCGAACCCTCCTCTCCCCCGGAGTCCCCTGTCGTCTCTGCGCTTGGCCCTGTAGCCCTTGGTACTCACACAGCCACACTCCCGCCCTGTCCCTCACTCTGCGCCTCCCAGTCCTGGGGCTGCTACAACCCTGGCCGGGCAGCGACCCTGCACTGTGCCCTCTCCAAAGTGCCCTTCACCCTTCCTTGGCCTGGCCCTGTGCACCAGCCTCTGTGCTGCCCTGCCCTGTACACCGGGCGTTCTCAGCCTTTTTCTTTCTGAGCCGACCCCGTGCTATCAAACTCCCCAGCCCACCTGTGCTCAATAACTGGCTTCCTGCCTACAAAAGCCAGCTGCCTGGGGCCCCTGCGAAGCTACATTGCTCAGGCTTCAGCTCCCGGTGCTGGGACTCAGAGCCCCAGACTTCCATCCGATGGGATGGGGCTTTAACTCTCTGCCCTGGGCCCTAGGGAGCCTAACACTGGCCCTGCTAGGCAGCCTCCTGTTGGAGAACCGCTGCTCTATGCTGCCCTGCTCAGCCTGGCCCGATGCATGGCCCTATGTCTGCCCGCACACCTCTGGCTTGGCCCCCTACGCTGCCTCGCCCTGGCGTATACCAAGCCATGGCCTGGCCCCAAATGCCGCCCTGTCCTTCTCCTCCCAGGCTGACAAGCTGCAGGCCAGGCTGCAGAAGATGGAGGTGCAGCTGCAGAGACCAGACTGCAGCAGCCCTGAGACCCATGAGGCAGCGCTGGGCGAGGAGCCCCGAGGAGACAGTCTTCAGCTGACAGGTACAGAGGGACAGGGGCAAGGGAGGGTGTCGGGGCAGGGAGGGCTCGATGCACCTTGGTTGCTCTCCACCCGCCCTCGGGGTGCGATGGGGATGGGGCAGAGTAAGAACTGCAGAGCCACGCCTGCGGTCAGAGCCACGCAGTCATGTGGCCCGAGGGGGGCGCTAGAGAGCACCGGGCATGCCCACCTCCCACGCTGACCTTGTGTCCAGAGCTCTGTTCCCCTTCGCACGTGGCCACGTTGGCACAGCAGCTCAGTCGAGGGCAGAACCCTGAACCCCTCCCTGTAGGTGTTCCCGTGGCTGAGCGCGCCTAGGAATCTAGCCCCAGGTGTGGGCGCGGCGTGTGGGACCTTGGCCCCGAGCGCCTTAAAGCTCTTGTCCCCTACGGACAACGCGGAGGGGGCTCAGAGAAGAGCCACAGAATGATGGGAGGGGCCCGCAGGGGACAGGCACCGAGATGGGCTCCGCAGCGGGGAGGAGAGAAGCCCTCGATCAGTGGCCGCGAGGATTTGGGCATTGCCGGGGGGAGGGAGCTCTGGGGTGGAAGTGGGTGCAGGGGAGGAATCCAACTATCAGACCCCTCCCCTGCCGTATTAGATGTTAGGCTGGGGCAGGAGCCCTGCTTGCCACGTAGGCATGTGGTCAGCACGGGGCTGCTCCCGCAGGGAAGGGCCCCAGGGTGACGGCTGCAGGAGAGCTCTCCCTGTGCTGCTTGCAGATGCCAAGGCCGTGTTCCTGGAGCAGGTGGCCCAGCTGGAGAGCTCCGTGAGCGCCGTGCGGGGCCAGCTGCAGAACTGCACTGCCGCCGGCGCCGAGAAAACCTGCCACCTCCTGTCGGAAATCAGCGCCGTGCTGCTGTCTGCACAGCGGGAGATCCAGCAGGCTGCAGCCGGGCTGACCCCCAGCACGCTGGGTTCTCAGCCCCTCTCCCGCAGCATCGCCAGGCTCCAGGCCGGGCCGGGTGCTAGTGGTAGTGCCTTGGGGAGAGCCCTTGTTCCTTTCCCATCCCCCCAGGCATGGTAGGACCTGAGTCAGCAACTGGCTCCTGCAGGTAAAGAAGCAGCCCCAATAGGCAAGCACAGAGCACCTGCCCCTTTCAACCCTGCAGCCCCCCAGGTGCAATGCGGCCGGGGCAATTTCTTCCTTTGCTCTCTTCCTAGGTACAGGGAAGTCTGTTCAGTGACTCGTCCACCCCCAGGAGAGCCTGGTGACCAAGCCATGGGGCAGGGGGCAGGTTGTTCTGGCTTTTCCCAGCCTTTCCTGGGGGGAAGTCATGCGGAAGCCCTAGAAAGGGACATTCAGAGCCATCCGGCCAGGCTCACGCAGAATGTCCCTGGCCTTGGTGTTCTCTAGGCACGGTACTGAGGCCAGTGCTGTCCCCACAGAGGGGCCCCGGGGCTGAACCCTGCGTTTCCCATTCATGTTGGTTTTTATATGTTGAAGGTGATTCCTCAGGAGTTTTCCGGGCACCCCACCAGCTGGAGTCGCCAGGCACTGGAGTCCCAGGGGCTGGCTGCAAGGTACCTCACGCAGGATACGGACCCATGCAGAGTCACACACCTGCACGTCCCGGGTTCTCTTACACTCTGAGACCCCCTCCTCCTCCAGTCCTCCGGCTGGCTTCCCTGCTCTGCGCACCTTGTCTCCCCTCCCGGGCTCTGCCCCGCCTGCATCTCTGCTGTCGTTCCCCCTCCTCCTCCTGCCACTCGCGGCCCTTTTATCAGACTCCCCCTCACTCTTGGGAGCACCTTCCCTTGGCCCCCCCTCCTGGAGCCTCCTCCCTAAAGCCAGCCCTGTTGTGGGTCCCCTGTCCTGCTCCTTGCCGGTCCTTGTGCCACTGGCCTGCTGACCCCGGTGTTGTGCCCGAGGCAGAGGCGCCTGCTCTCAGCCTGTGCTCGAGCTAAAGCACCGGGAAGGCAGAGGGCTCCGTAGTCAGCCAAGTGCAACATCCACACAGGGAGACAGGCACCTTCTGGGTGGTGTTTCCCCTACTAGAGCAGCTGTGCCCCAGCACGGGCGAAGGGGGGTCCCGCCACCTGCCCTCCTGCTAGGCTCCGCCAGCTGGAGCAAGGAGCCCCACAACGCTGGGCCACTCGGGAGCATGCAGCGGATGCCATTGTGCCTCGCTGGCAGGATCGCTCCGTTCGTGCGGCAGGGGTCGGTCCCCCTGAGCTGGCCTAGTCCTGACTCCTGAGAGCTCAGACCGGGCTGACAGCATGAGGGCAGACCCCATCTGTGCCCCGCTTCCGGGGCATAACCCCAGGCCGCTCATGGCCTCCCCGGGGGGGTTGTCTCCGCAGCCACAGGGACACGGCGGCACAGGAGGAGTCGGTGGCCAGGAGAGCCCTGCTCGCGTCCAACACCAGCTGCGCTCTGCTGCAGGGCACCCTGGAGGACAGTGCGAGCCTGGATTTCAGGAGGGTGCTGGAGGAGCGGTGAGAACAGCAGTGTGTCTGGGAGCTGAGTGCGGGGGGGGAGGGGAGCGGGCCCTGCCTCACAATCCCCTGCCAAAGCGACTCCACCCCAGCAGGCCGCGACCCCCACGAGGGGCAAGAGGGGAGCTGTCGGTGTGGCCCATTCAGCCCTTGAGCTCTTCGCCAAGCTTGCCAACAAGGGGGCTTCTCGCCTGGGCTGAGACCCACCAAACTCATTGCATGCGCGCCGCCCAAGTGCCCTCAGGTTGCTGGTTCCCAGGTCAGTCAGCCTGGACCAGCCTCAGACCCAGCAGGCTAGAGAGAACCCCCCTGCCCCCTCCGTGCCTGGCCAGCTCCTGCAGGAAGCAGCCCCGGCGAGATCATAGCTTTGTCTTGTGCCCCTTCTGTGTAGGTACCAGGAAATCCAGCAGGCACAGGAGGAGCTGGCTGCTGGCATGTTGGAGGGGGCAGCTGAGGCCAAGCGAACCTTTGCGTCCATCCGCCAAGCTAGTGCAGACATGGCAAAGAACCTCTCCACGCCAGACCTGGTGGGCAGCCTTGCGCACTCGCAAATGCTAGTGCCTGTAGGGCGGGGGGTTCAGATGGGCCGCCCCTGGCAGTGTGCCCAGTCCCTCCCCAGCCCAGTCCCTCCCCTGGGGCTCCATGGCAGAGTTACTGGTCTAGGAACTTACTTCCCTGTGGTATCCGGGCACCTCCTGCTTGCCTGGATTGTAGCCTCACACCTGTGTGGCGGGGGAAGTTGAGGCACAGGTCAGGTGAAGGGACTTGCCCAAGGTCTCCAGGGAGCCAGTGGCTGAGCTGGGAGTTGGACCCTGGACTCTTGAGTCCTGACCAGCCAGCTCCGCTCGCTGCCTTTGTGCAGAGCCAGGCCCGGGACAGTCTGAGCCCCTCTGGTGCGGCCGTGGGTGTGATCAGAACGAGGCCAGCCCGGCCTTGCTCCACCCCCAGCTGCTGGCTGGCAGGGGAGGGAAGGGGGCAGTTCCCAGCCTTTGGGCAAATGCTGCTGAGCCTCTTTGGGGGCGGCTGGATGTTATCCCCACCTGAAGCCAGGAGCCGAGCCTGGGTCCCCTGACTTGGGGCCCACTAGAGACACTTCCTCTGAGCTCATCCCCTCCCTCTCTGTGCTGTGGGTTTGGGGTGGGGAGATGCCCCCTCCCCACAAGCTCTGCTTTCTGACCGAGCGGGTGGGGGTGTGGTCCCACAGCGCCCCCTGGTGGTGCAGGCCGGAGTGCTGGCTCAGGAGCTGAGGGCGCTGGAGCAGGGCGTGGAGGGGAAGGAGCGCCTGTTCCTGGACAAGTCGGAGGCTCTGATGGCCGAGCTGCGCAGGGAGCTGCAGGGGGCTCAGCAGTTCCAGCAGGCAAGTGTCCTGGGGAAAGAGGTCCGGGGGCGGGGGGGCTGCTCTGAAACCGGGGAGCACGCTCCAGGCAATGCTGAGCCTGATGCTGATTCAGGCTGGGGGTGATAATTCACACCCGTCTCAGGCCTGTGTGTGCGAAGGGTGTGAAAGCACCCCCCATGTTTCCCCAAGTAGCATACTCCAGCTGGCCAGAGGAAGGCAGGAGCAACGCACTACCCAACCCTCCCTCCCTCAGACTTACTGGAGGGACTGTGGGGGGCGCAGTCACACCTTTGCAGTCCACACTTACAAAAAAGCACCCTCACCCCCCCCCACACACACCG